GTGATTAGGTCCTATGATGATATCACTTGAATAGATATGTGGACAGAGTTGGCATCGGGCTTTGTTACAAGGATAGGTTCCTGGGTCAGTGTTTTTGTTCAGTGATGTGTGGTTGCTGGTGAGTATTTGCTTTAGGTTGGGGGGTTGTCTGTAAGCGAGGACAGGTCTGTCTCCCAAGATCTGTGAGAGTAAAGGATCATCTTTCAGGGTAGGTTGTAGATCTCTGATGATGCGCTGGAGAGGTTTTAGTTGGGGGCTGAAGGTGACAGCTAGTGGTGTTCTGTTATTTTCTTTGTTGGGCCTGTCTTGTAGGAGGTGACTTCTGGGTACTCGTCTGGCTCTGTCAATCTGTTTTTTCACTTCAGCAGGTGGGTATTGTAGTTTTAAGAATGCTAGAACGGGGTGGCACTGTCAATGGGAAACAAGTGCCAAGGAGTAGAAGGCTTTTGGCCCAGATATCCCCTTCAGAAGACATCCCCAGCCTGGATTAGGGATACTGCTGTGACCTCACCTTGCAGCCCTGAAAGAATGAATTGGGTGGACTAAATGGACAGTGCCCCTCTCTATCTGAAGCCTAGCAAGGGAGGTACATGGATCCCACTAGAATTTAAAATGAAAAGTAAGGGAGGGGAGGCTCTACTGGACCTGGGCAGCTTTAGATACAGTACCAGGCGCGTAGGAGGATTTCCACTTCTGAGCCATGGAAGCAGAAATTAACTTCTCCTTTCCAGATTTAACTAATATTCAGAAAGGGAATCTAGCACCTGCCTTCCAGATTTGAACACCCTCAAAATTCAGGAGTGCTCAAACTCAGTTTGGGCAGCTGTTACCTCATTTCTCCCAAATCAAATATACTGATCCACTGTAACTTGCTGTAGAAAAAGTAGGCTAAAATTGAGCAAGAAATGCTTCCCAGTGGTTATTAGGACTGGAATTGCTATTTTCAACAGCCATTGCCATTTTTTTTTTTTTTTTAGTTTTATTTGTTTAAAAGGAAGACAGTGATATTGCAGTGGCAAATTCCCCAGAGAAACAAAGAGTGGAACAAAAAAATAATAAAGGCACCTCAACTTTTCCTCATTTATGGAGGAGTCTTATAATATGCATCCAGATATCCTCCAATCACACAAGCTGAAAATTGTTCCACTTTACTGCAGTTCTGTAACCATATGGGAACCAATCCTGTTTGTGTTCTGTGCATATCTAAAATTCCTGCTGAATGACCCGCCCTGGGAGCGAGTTACCAGTGACCCAGGGCTGGGGCGGAAGGAGGGTGCAGTTGGTGGGGGCGGCAGGGGGTGTGGGTGGAGGAGGGGGAGAGCCCAGAGCTGGGGCAGCAGGGGGTGTGTGGGTGGTATGTGGGGAAGGGGGAGCCCAGGGCTGGAACAGCAGGGGGGGGCAGGTGGGGGGAGGCCCAGAGCTGGGGCGGCAGGAGTGTGTGGGGGGGAGCCCAGGGCTGGGGTGGGGTCAGCCAAACATTTTTTTGCTTGGGGTGGCAAAAAACCTAGAGCCGGCCCTGGCTACTCTACTGTATTACTCTGCCAATACTGTGGGCATGATTAGGTCTGAGTACTGCTGTGCTCTACTGAAGTCAGTACCAGCTAAAGATTTACCTTTTAAAAGTCCCATCTAAAGATGTGGATTGAATAGAAAATATCTGGAGTAAGAGGCATTAGAATCAGGGTCAGTATAAATCAGACACTGAAATCCAGTTTGGATTCTTCTCCCAAAGGACTAATTGGCTGAAGGGAGGTGTCTTACTTGTGATGCTCCATCTCAGTTCTGTGTGAACTGTCAGTGAAAGGACATTGCTACATCCACTCCTGCTAGTTCCTCTATAGTGGGAGTAGCACTTCACAATAGACAGTGTTGAAGACTGCTGAGATATCAAGGCTGTGAACGTGGAAGTGTGGCCCCCAGATCAAGGCCATCAGTACAGTCATCCATCAGAGCAGAGGGCCAGCCTTTTGCCATGTCCTGACTTCAAGCCTGACCTGAGGGGCTCAGGATGCTCTAGGAAGTTAAATGCTGCTGGAGCTTGTTTGACTGATACTACCTTTTCCATAACTTTGTTCAGGCAGGGGGCTGGAAACAGAGTGGTAGTTTGCAAGGCCTCCTGCATAAAGTGCAGACTTGTGCAGAATCAGCCAGACTATTGCAGGTTTCCAGGTGACTAATAAGGAGCCATTGACTGAAGTGTTGATGATGCCAGTTACAGGGCCCTATTGCACTTTGCTTGCCTTCATATGAGATGGTGATTAGAGAACTCTCAGTTTTCCAGTGGTAGAAATAAAAGCCTGGATGGATGAAGAGCAATTGTTGTAACTGAGTATGGGGAAACTAGTGGTGCTGCTAGGAGAATGGAACATAATTAAAAATCTTGCAGGTGCACTGATTTCACACTTGACTGAAGACATCTGACCATTGATTGTCAAGGCAATATAAAGCCTCAGGGTCTTGTTGGACTCCCCGCTGCTCCTGGACACATTTGCATCAATGATGAGAAATGATTTATACCATCTTCAAGTGGCCAGAAAACTGCATTTTTTCTCTCAGATGATATATCACTATGTTTATCACCTCCAGATTAGACTACCGCCACCTTTTGATTGTGTACTCTCCAGGGCATTAACCGGGGTCAGAAAGCATCCTGCAACTATTGGGTCCTAATGCAGCACAGATAATTAATAACAGTAGACACTCTGATGTGCATAGGAATGTGGTTCAGATGAAACAAGAACAGGAAGCAACCCAGCAGTGAATGATCAGCTGGGGTTTATACCTGGGACTTCTCATAAACGTAACATACTAAGCCATCTGGCTGACTACAGACACTGCTACTTGCATTTGCTACTACAGATATCAAGCAAGTCTCTCAAAGAAGCATTTTCACAAATATGTTGTGAACCACTTTAATTCTCCCTGAGCTATACGGTTTGTAAGTGATGCAGGGAAGGATAGGGCTTTGAGTTAGCAGAGGGAGAGTTCTCTGCATGAGTAAGGGGAGATGGAGGAAGAGGAATTTAGGTTAGCAGAAGGCTTCCTTCCAACCTACTTAGAAAACCAAGTAACTTGTTCTGTAGCTTGATACCCTTCTTAGTGCCACTCATGCAGCTTGATAAATCTTCACAGAGTATTAAACAGCTACATTGCTAATTTAACAGCCAAATGGCTAGAATGGCCATGACTGTGGGCATGGATCTGTATGAAGAGGTCTTATTCAAATCTAAAGATCTTCAATATTTTGGCTATAAGACATCTTAGGCCTGATTTTCAGAGGTGGTGGACACCATTACCTCCAATTGATTTCAATGAGCGCATTCTGATCAATAGATTTTACGGTATTTTAAGCTGGACTCCCTGAAATTGAGGCAATCAAAAATAGTTAGGACTCTGAAAATTTGGTCCAAACTAGTTATAGAAAGGAAATAATGAAGGTATAAACTGACCTCTTTAGCACCAAAGGGCACAAACAGCATGGCATTTGGAGCAGGGCACTTGGATTTACAAGCTCTATTACTATCAGCAGGGGAATGATTTATCCCACTGTGCCAGCTAGCCTTTAGCTGTTATTTTGGTATCTGGAACTGCTAATTGATGGTCATGTGCACTATGTTGAGCGTGTCTTGGAAAATACAGTATGTTATCCCCAGACACACAAGTTGTCTGGGTTCTCCATGCCTCCTTCAGACAACTCTGCAAAAGTATCATACAAGGGGAATCCCAGGTGGAGGGACTCCTCTCTCTGTTGGGCACCAGCACAAACTCTTTTAGCAGATGTTGCTCACCTTGAATAGATGCGAGGGAATTAAAAGGGAAACAGTGTCACAGGGTTTGTCCCTTGTCCACCCCACGTTGACATGGTCCATAATCTCAATTACTAGGATGAGTTTTGTGCTCATGCATTAGGCTCTAACTATACTGGAGCTACAGCCAGGTCTAATGCTGGCAGGTGCTATTCAGCTTTCTGCCATGTGCAACATCCCTCAATCCTGAATTCAACCAGATCTCAGACAGAACCTGGTGCTATTATTCCAGTCCTGGGCCTGCCTGGGTGAAGAGTAGTGTATAGTGCTAAGCTGACTCCAATGTGATGTTCACTATACAGTACTGCAGATGAGAATGAAATCTTTGCTGATGTTAGATGAAAAGAAGTCTCTATTAGCTTAGATCTTCTACATGTGATAGTCACACTGGAGCCACAAAAATACAGATACATCTCATTTGCCAATGAATCACACACATGCCATATGGGGAATGTAACTTTCTTCTTCCAAAAACACTAGTGTCTATTATTAAACTAATATCTGTACTATTAAAGGTTTTAGTCTTTGAGTGATAAGGACTAGGAGGTTCTATCCTCTGAACCTCCCCTCCCCTCCCCACCCCCCGCCAACTGCATTATAACAAGGTATCAACTTTAATTCTTTGTACTCCCAGCACCCGCTTATGATTACTGGCAATGAAGTATCCTGGCAAATAGCATAGATCCAATGGCTCTATGGACTCCACTTTGGAAGACTGCTATTGTATGTCCATACTCAATAAAATAGTTTGAATAGAAGCCATATTTCTTAACAATGCCTCATTACAACATACATCATTCATTCCAAATCCAAATTTACCCTGATCTCACTCAAACCTAGTGTAATCTTCCTGTTTATTATTGCTGACATCAGGAATGCTGAATAATTAAATTATCTATCTTAGGTACTTATGTGGCCCCTATTACCATAGTATCAGAACCTTATTATAAAATATGGTGTGTATGTATTCAGGAATGAAGCTCACCTCACTTCCTGTCTCCTTGTCCTCTGCTATGTTTGCTGGGTCTTTTTCATATTTTCTAAAGGCCAGTGTCATACAGCTGGAGCTTGCTAATATGAGATCTATGCTAAAAGCTGTGCAGGGGCCGCAAGGTTACACTTGAAATTCTTTGTATCATAGTGTACACTCATGGGCACAGGTCTAGAATATTTGTTCTCCATAATTCTTTCCAGTGCCTGGGAATCTTGGCTGTTACAAGGACTATGGAGATCCACCTCTTACTGGCATCAGTGAGACCTCAAACAAACTCACTATCCAAACCTGCATCAGCTTCTGCCGAAATCAGCAGTTCAAGGTAATTTCTTTGCTCGCCATTTACAGAGAGGTTTTTTTTTTTAAATGGGACAGGATGACACACACAGATCTCTGCTGTATTTCTGGTGCCTTCTTTTCTTGCCCCAGGAAACCCAGCCTCTCACTTCCTCCCACTCTAGGGAGTCCAGCCTTTCTCCTGCTATCCAAGATAGCTTGGGTATACGCCAAAAAGTTATATTTTAACTGCCAGGAGGAGGTGCCTGCAGACACGTGAATGCTTTTGTATGCTTACACTTCATTAATGAAACAACCCTTCCCTCCCTCTGCACAGGCTTTCTCACCAGCCTTAAATGGCACCCGTGCAGCTCAGTCATCTGCAGAACACCCTGCCAGCTTTCTCCTGGCCCTGCTCCTAATCATTCTCCAAATGGTACACTCCTTGCTGTCCTCTTTATGCCCTGACAACCTGCTATCTGTGTTCCCCAAATGTCAGCCCTTCCTGTCTAAAGTCTCTTTGTTATCACAGTTGGCAGGCATGGAGTCAGGCTATGCCTGTTTCTGTGGGAATAACCCTGACTATTGGCGCTATGGGGAGGCAGTCAGCACAGAATGCAACAGTGTCTGTTTTGGCGACCATACCCAACCCTGTGGTGGCGATGGCAGGGTCATCCTCTTTGACAGTAAGTATTGAAATGGCCTGAGCATCTCTGAAAGGGAGGCTTCAAATACTTAGCAAATCAGGGGAAAGAGTCGTCAAGGAATTTGGGCACTACTGAACACAAAACAATGTAAGACTCACAGTAGGGCTAAACTGTAGGGCAGCTGAGGTCCTGTCTGGCTTAGAACAATGAGAACCTGAATTCAGAGTAAAATTAATTAACCTTCATTCCAATTCTGTGAATGGACTGGCATATCTCTTCCAATAAATGATACTTGCTCAGACAACTGCTTCATGCTCCAGATACTATGGTGCCCTTTTCCACAAAGGGCTCTCAAGTGGCTGTCATCCACGACACAGCAACACAGCACTGAAGGGCACTTTCAGATCTGCCCTTAATTGATGAATGCATGTGCAACTAAGGTAAGTGATCATCTTCAGTCATCCCATCAGACATCATAATTGGTACACATCAGCTCAACTTTTACTAAATAGTGTTATGTTCAGTCTGGTAAAGGAGAAAGGGGAACCCAGCAGAGATTTACCTGGAGCTGTGGGAAGAGGAGGGAGTTCCACCTTTTACATTAAAAATAATTAGATGTAATTATAAATCTAGTTACTAATTTTTGAGTAAAGGAAAAACAGAATAGTTGACCATAGACCTTACCTACATAGTAAAAGAGGATGTCAAATATACAAGACAACAAAATGTAGTAGACGTGTCATTGGAGCAGCATGTTACATCAAAGGAATGAGTTATATTCAGGGGTGAAAGTAACTGAGGACACTTACCGGTACAGGGGGGGTTGGCTCTGGCCCCCGGAAGGGGCGGGGCCTCAAGCGGTAGGGGCGGGGCTGGGGTCAGCATCCCCCAGCCAACCCTTGGACCGCGCTGCCCGGGGCTCCCGTGTTGATTTAGTGGCCGGGGGAGGCAAAAGGGGTAGGGGTTAAAGCGCTGCAGGGTCCTTTGCCACGGCAGTGCTTTAACGTTGCTTCCCCCCCCCACATCCATCGGCAACCCCACCAACTGGGGGGTGCAGCAACATTAAAGCGCTGCTGCAGCAAAGGACCATCCTTAAAGCGCTGCCATGGCATGGACCCTACCGGCAGGGCCCCCGACAGGGGAGGCAAAAGGGGCAGGGACATTAAAGCGCTGCCACGGCAGCACTTTAATGTGGGCTGGTTATGGGCCGGTGCGGGTTCTTACCGGTACGGAGTACCGGCCCGTACCGGCTCACTTTCACCCCGGTTATATTTCCTTAACACTCTACACACCCAGAGGACTCCTTGCTTGCACTCTCTCCCTATAAATACCAGTTCCAGTTGCGTAACCTTACAGACTAAGAGTGTAATTAAGACCTGTAGTTTGCAGTGTAGTATCACTGACTTCAATGGAGTTGCACCAATTAAACAAGGGTCTGAATTCTGTCCTGAATACATGACTCTTCAATTTGTGTATAACTGCAGTATAAGGTACAACCTTTTTCTTCATCTACACAATGACACCAAACCTTAGGACAAACTTCCACACAGTTGCTTCTCTTCAGAGTATGGGTTTGAAAAGTTACTAAGTCCACAGTTTGCTCTAACACTGAATGTAGGGGTGGTGTTAACTATCATAGAAGATTAGGGTTGGAAGAGAGACCTCAGGAGGTCATCTAGTCCAACCCCCTGCTCAAATCAGGACCAACCCCAACTAAATCAACCCTGCCAGGGCTTTGTCAAGCCAGGCCTTAAAAACCTCTAAGGATGGAGCAACAGAGGGTCCTGTGGCACCTTTAAGACTAACAGAAGTATTGGGAGCATAAGCTTTCGTGGGTAAGAACCTCACTTCTTCAGATGCAAGAGATTCCACCAACTCCCTAGGTAACCATTCCAGTGCTTCATCACCCTCCTAGTGAAATAGTTTTTCCTAGTATCCAACCTAAACCTCCCCCACTGCAACTTGAGACCATCGCTTCTTGTTCTGTCATCTGTCACCAATGAGAACAGCTTAGCTCCATCCTCTTTGGAACTTCTCTTCAGGTAGTTGAAGGCTACTATCAAATCCCCTCTCACTCTTCTCTTCTGCAGACTAAATAAGCCCAGTTCCCTCAGCCTCTCTTCATAAATCATGTGTTCCAGCCCCCTAATCATTTTCATTGCCCTCCGCTGGACTGTTTCCAGTTTGTCCACATCCTTTCTGTTCTGGAGGGCCCAAAACTGGATGCAATACTCCAGATGTGGCCTCACCAGTGCCGAATAGAGGGGAATAATCACTTCCCTTGATCTGCTGGCAATGCTTCTACTAATGCAGCCCAATATGTCATTAGCCTTCTTGGCAACAAAGGCACACTGTTCACTCATATTCAGCTTCTCGTCCACTGTAATCCCCAGGTCCTTTTCTGCCACTTCACCAGTCAGTCCCCAGCCTGTAGCAGTGCATGGGATTCTTCCGTCCTAAGTGCAGGGCTCTGCATGTGTCCTTGTTGAACCTTGTCAGATTTCTTTTGGTCCAATCTCCAATTTGTCTAGGTTACTCTGGACCCTCTCCCTACCCTCCAGCATATCTACCTCTCCCTCCCACCCAGCTTAGTGTCATCCACAAACTTGCTGAGAGTGCAATCCATCCCATCATACAGATCATTAATGAAGAGGTTGAACAAAACCCACCCCAGGACCGATCCCTGGGGCACTCCACTTGATACCAGCTGCCAACTAGACATTGAGCCGTTGATCACTACCCATTGAGCCCGACAATCTAACCAGCTTTCTATCCACCTTATAGTCCATCATCCAATCCATACTTCTTTAATTTGCTGGCAAGAATACTGCTAACGTCATGGTATATCACATCCACTGCTTTCCCCATATCTACAGAGCCAGCTATCTCATCACAGAAGGCAATCAAGTTGGTCAGGCATGACTTGGCCTTGATGAATCCATGTTGACTGTTCCTGATTACCTTCCTCTCCTCCAAGTGATTCAAAATGGATGCTATGGGAGATCTAGCTCCAGGGGCAAAGGTGCTCAGCCATGAGTCAAATATCATGAGTCAGATGTAACCCCTCCAAAATCATGAGATTGGCTCAACTATAATGAGATCTTGTTTTTAAAATTGAATGTGTTTTTGGTTTGTCTTCTGATTTTTGAACTCCCCCCTCCCTTCAATGTGCTCATACAATTAGTGTTACCAACTCTCTTATATTTATAGTGAGTGAGACAATTTTGGCACCTGCTGCAGGAGCCTTCACTAGAATGCACATTGGGACCTCTTTATGATAGACAAGCCTTAAGTGTTTAAGTCTATATGAACAGTTAGTCCAGGGGCACTTGCCAGCTGCGTATTAACTGTCCATGTGGACCTTGCGGCTGTGCACTAAAAGTTCACTAAGGCGCGCTTAGACCTAACAACAGTCCTGGGGTTTGCGGGACTGTCCCACTTTGAACCTCAAAAACCTCTTGTCACGAATGAGCAGAACATTTCCTGCATTCAGGACTGCCCAGGGTTTGGCCTGTCTGCCCTTCTGTCTCCAGCTATGGAGTGGCAGACAGGCCAAACCTGAGTGGCACTGTGTCCTGCTTTAGTCACTTGAAATGTTGGGAAGTATGCGCTTTGATCTACTCCCGTTTCAAAGTGGGGTAGATCGAAGTGCACTACGGAGCTTTTAGCGTGTGGGAGCAGGGTCTGGACGGACAGTTAGTGCATGGCTGGCTAATGTGAGGTACATTTAGACCCTATCTTGCCGCACACTAACTGTTCATATAGAGAAGCCCTAAGTGAGGGACAGTCTCTGCTCTGTATAGATTACAATTAGTGCAAAGCAAAGTAGTGAGTTTGTGATATAGGAACTGGAACTGGGAATCATACTCATCTATACAGGGGCCATCAAACTTCCATGAGTTGGGAACAAATCTTAATCCCTGTTGAGCTGGGCAAGATTCATACTGCTGCCCAACAGGGGAGAGGCTCTGTAGCTCCTTTGCAATTCTCTGAGACAGCTAATCCTGCACAGGTGCTGATGTTACATTTTTAAAAATGAGACTGCTTTCTGGGAAGATAAATTTATTAAATCAGGTCTGACCTTTTGGAGCTTGCACAGGCATGCTCTCCCACCCTCTGGAACACAGGCAACATCTCCCACATTGCTCAGGCTCAAAACTACTCAGTCTGCTACACCTATTCTTACAAATACAAATAATAAAAATGCAATGGTAAAACAAATATTAGCACAACATCTGAATTCACTTCTAAATACAATGTTTTGCAATTTCAGATCATTCCAACTATTGCATCAAGATCTGTACATCAACTTCTATAATATGTAAATTTTCCCACTCCCACATGGGTCATCAATCCTCAATCTTCAGCTCCACAACACAGACAGCTCTAGGAGCAATTGATAGGTGAAAAGCATGCTTTTGTCCTCTAAGTCAGTGGCTCTCAACCTTTCCAGACTACTGTATCCCTTTCGGGAGTCTGATTTGTCTTGCATACCCAAAGTTTCACCCCACTTAAAAACTACTTGCTTACAAAAATCAGACATAAAAATACAAAAGTGTCACTGCACATTATTGAAAAATTGCTTACATTCTCATTTTTACCATATAATTATAAAATACATCAATTGGAATACAAATATTGTGCTTACATTTCAGTGTATAGGCTATACAGCAATATAAACAAGTAATTGTCTGTATGAAATTTTAGTTTGTACTGACTTCGCTAGTGTTTTTTATGTATCCTGTTGTAAAATTAGGCAAATATCTAGATGAGTTGATTTACCCACTGGGAGACCTCTGTGTTGAGAACCACTGCTCTAAGTGGACCAGCCTATACAGGGAGACACCATACTTTCTGAAACAGCCATGGAACACTGGGCATCAGGACACTTTGGTGGGAGCACATTGTGGTTACAGCCAGCATAGCCAAAAGTAACAACCCCCCGTTTGGGTCATATGAGACCCTGAACCTGGGATCTCTGGATGTAAAAATGTGAAGAGCTACCACTTGAGCTAAAGAACCCTTAGAGTGCTCTCGGCATGGAAGTAGTAACAGACTCAAGTCTCTATATGTGGTCTAGCAACTAAAAAGTAACAGAGTCATGGTGGGTTACAGAATCACTTAAACTGATATGTCCCTTGGAAAGAATTTGGCAAAGTGGATGAGACTTGATGCTGTTATATCAGCGATTCTGTTCTATTCCCAGTTCTACTAGTCACCATGGGTAAGTTCTTGGTTACATGTGTGAGATCTTGTTCACAATATGGGTTATGAAGGACACAGAAGTATTGTCAGTCGAAGAGCTGGGACTAGAATTCGTGGTATCTCGGCTTGTAATTCATTGGACTTTCCACTAGGCTACAGGACATTATATGGAAACAGAGCCCTCTCCCTCCCAACACACACCAATAGAGCTTTTAGTATCATCATGAGACTCTTCGCAGCCAGAGCCAAAGTCACAATCTCAATAAAGCTGAATTGGCAACACTGCTCTGCAGTTTAGTGTTGAGTAGTTCTCTGTTGGGCTTTGCTAGCCAATTGTCCTTTAACATGGGAAATGCCTAATGGCCACAGACAAGAGCTGAGTTAGAGGGGGCCAAGGTGACAGTAAGGTTCTATTTTATTAGTAGGGTGCAGTATAACACTATTTACATATCTGCCTCCCAGGGCATTTGTGCAGATTAATTGTTTATACATGGCTTTAAACATGTGAAGCAACACATACATGCACAACCATTAAAAGAATTAGTGCATCTGATTGTAATGTTACCAACAATAATGCTGGAACAGTATAGCTGAGCTACTTTGCAAATTTTATCTTCTGGGTTTTTTTTTCTCCAAAGTCGTGGAGTGCTGCATTAATGTCTTTGAAAATCAACCAATATACTGTCCATGGACTCTTTCTGTACAAAATCACGTACCAGCCGGATGTATTAGTTTACATAAATGATAGCAGTGAGCACCAGAGCAGCATTGAACAAAAGATAATAAAGTAGCCTCAAGCATTACTGCATACAAAACATATGTTGGAAACTTTTCAGCTTGATGGATAAGGTGTTTGCAAAGGATCCTGTGATAGGGCGTTATTCTTAGCCAAGTAATTCCACTTATCCGTGTGTCAGACCTACTTATTAATTGTACAAAAACAAAACACTTGAAATTTTAAAACAATTACATAAAAAAGATAAAACTCTGCTAAGAATGCTTTAATTATAGGGAAGTGGAGAAATATCCCATAAGCAAGAGTCATTATTACACGTACCGCCCTCACAGGGGTAGGAAGGGAGTTGTTGAGGCTTAGTGGTTAGCTCATTATGACCAGATTATCCCCAGCCCTGGAGGGATGCTCAAGGGAGGAGAGGACACAAATTTCTGGCTACAATTTTGCACAAGATCTAGGCACAATTGCAGCCTAGCCTGGCATTAGGCTTTCTGAAAGAAATGAGAGTGGTTGATGGCCCCTCCCACTTCTGCACCATATCAGTGGAGTTGGCCTCCTGTGAAAGAAGCGCACATTGCACCCTGGAAGAGGGTAGCACAATGGCCATGCTCCCAGGTACCCACATAGGCATCTTGCTTTGGTCTGAGACACAGTACATCCTGGAGCTTCCCTGTAGCTTAAAGCCACAATTGAGCCCTTGATGTTTGTAGCGTGTGAGATTTATTCTTAGATGAAACATGCTGTGGAAGTACAGCCTATACAAATTTGATTTTCACTCCTTTTTCTTCTCTTTTTCCCCACAGCCCTCATTGGTGCCTGTGGAGGGAACTACACCTCCCCAACATCTGTGATCTATTCCCCAGATTTCCCTGACACCTATGCCACAGGCAGGGTCTGCTACTGGACCATACAAATTCCAGGAGCATCTCAGATCCAGTTCGACTTCACTCTCTTTGACATCAAGGACTCCACAGACATGGTGGAGGTGCTGGATGGCTACACCTATCATGTGCTGGCTCGTTTTGATGGCAGGAACCAGCCTCCCATCTCTTTTAATGTCTCTTTGGATTTTGTCATTTTGTATTTTTTCTCAGATCAAATCAATCAGGCCCAGGGATTTGCTGTCGTGTACAGAGGTAAGAGGCTAATGCTCCATACCTAGCTCCCAATGGGCCATTTTTCTAAGGTGTTTAGGCCACATAAAGACTTGCCCTACAGACACAGAGAAAGCACATATTTTAACTGATGTTGTACATCTAAGGGTCCTCCATTTAGTGTAGTCGGAGTTCCGGGGGTAAGACCTCCCACCCAAACTTCTGTCTTGATTTAGTAGTCTGCCCTTCAGCTGTTTCTCAAATAACTATGGGCTAACCCAAAAGCCCATTCCCCTCGTCCCCCTCCCCCACACCTGACATGGTGGAGCTGAAAGAAAGACTGAAGTTTAAATAAAATGGTGCCAGTAGTCTAGCTGCACCTTCTGTTTTTTCTTAGCTCTTTCTAACTCCCTGTATGTTCCACTCAGACAGAAAGTGTCCTGGGATTCTGTGACTGTACCAATTACTTTCAAGTCATTTTGCTCAGATCATTTTCATCTTGTCTATGCTAGAACACTCACCATTGCTCGTGCCAGCAAAGCTGTATTGGTGTAAGAAAATTTTAGGGAAAAAGGCATAGGTGCTGGAGGTGTTGTGGTACCCGCTGGCTCAAAGTGGCTTCCATCATGTACAGTTTACAGTTTGGTTCAAGGGCTCTTTGCACCCCTGCTATACAAATTATTCCGGCACCTCTGGAAAATGATAGTGTAGACACAGCCTTTGTTGTTCTGTGTATCTCTTGTATCTTCAGAGTTTCTAACTGTATGTCTTGTAGATGGAGACCTGGACAGCTCCTCAGTGACAACCGGTCACCAGATGGCCACTCATACTAATTTTACCAGTCCGCAATGAAACTATCATAGAATGCTTCAACTCTTCAAGCAATGTGTTGTCCCCAAAACAGATTAACTAGAGCCACGACTTTAAGTTTCACTAAGCAAACTAGATTTTTTAATAGCAAGTAGGTTGTACAAAAGGAAAACACATGCTAAACAAAAGACGCTGAATATTTAACTGCAATCCTTAGCATCGTCTCCTGAGATCTGGAGAAGCCATTCTGTTGTCCTAATTACAAAACAATGTATATTATCCCTCTGAGACACAGTGCAGCTGCTTTTCTCTGATCCTTCAAGATAAGCAAGGTCTCTCTCCTTTTTCTCAAAAAGAACAGGAGTACTTGTGGCACCTTAGAGACTAACAAATTTATTAGAGCATAAGCTTTCGTGGGCTACAGCCCACTTCTTCGGATGCATATAGCGTG